GTGGGGCATGTCAGAATACTGACATGTATTTTTATGTAAAAATTTATAATTAGCAGTTTGAGATTAAAGTCCAAGATGTTTCACAACATATTGTGATTTTCTGATCTGTGGACCACTTTGCTTGTACTGGGAGCCCAGCATATGGGTAAAACAAAAGCATCATTTACCCAAGACTGCATATGTAATTTCATGGGGAAAAAAACCAATAAAGTTTATAATTACTAAATAAATTCATCTTTAAAAATGCATTCACAGCACATCCTGGAAGGCAAGATTTCCCATGTTTGCCTGACATACTACTCTTTGTTTTTAATTTAGATGTTATTATTCCCTGGCTAAGTCATTTAATGCAGTACTCCCTCTGAGAGGATATAACTAAATAGTGCTAAATTGATGCATTTCAAAATATTTATGGCAATTTCATTTAAAATACCAATGATGTCCCATGTTTCAAATGTTAAATAGACTATCAAGCTAGGGGAAAACACTCCTTATCAAAATCAAGTATAATTATGATCACTTCTTTATTTTTTATAAGAAAATAAATAGGTAATTGTAAACATGCAGGGCAACCAATTGTTTAGTATCGTTCTGTGTGTAAAAAGTCTGAGTATACAGATATACTCTCATGTACTCTCAAAAATGAAGCAGGAGACACTACTGTTGAAATTTATAGTATTAATTATTTTTGTTTTCCACAATGAAATTTCATTGAAATAGATAACGTATATTAACCAAGTGCACAGAAAATAAAGGTCCCAAGATAAATGGTGCTACTACAGTGGGCCAGTTAAGAAAACTCCAGAGCAAATACCAGGAAAATTAAAAAAAAAAATTTGCAATTGTTTTTAACAATTTTGTGTGCCAGAGAGGGACTAGATAATACAAACACTACAGATTCTGAATTAAACATCATCTGATAAAGAATCATCAGCAGCAGCATCTCAGCTGCTCTTTACTCCCTTTCCACATCCTTTGCTTGTGTTTTTGTTGCTGTTGTTGTTGGTTTTATTCTTAAATTGCCATCAAAGCTTCTCTATGCACCAACTTCAAAGAGAACATGAGAACATGCCTCTCACTTAAAGATCACAGAGTTTTCAAATCTTTGAAACAAAGGTTGTTCCTATAGCCACAGGACATCATGAAGGGCAATGACCTTCAAATAATTGTAGCAAATTGGGCCTCCCTGGTGGTGCAAGGGGTTAAGATGCAACCTATGACGCTATCTGCAGCCATTGCAGCAAGAGTTCAATCCGGCCAGGGAGCTACCCACATGGCTCAGCAGACCTCTCCTGGCTTACCTGCTGCTCCCCTCAGCAGTGTATTTCAGTCAATCTGCCTGTTCTGCTCCCCACTCTGTCTCTGGTGAATCCTCTCACTTCCTACACCTCTGGCCTGTGCCTCAGTTCTTGTATGCATAAATAAATAAATATTTAGAAAAAACAAACAAAAAGGACAAATAATTGTAGCAAAGACTCACCCCTCACGACAGTGTGCTATATAAAGTCTCTTCCATGCTCTCACTTGATACTATCTGTACATTAATTCACTTGGGCATTCAATGAGCTAGTCACAATTTACATGAAATAGCTTTTACAAAAATCTCTGTCTCTGATTGCTTGTGATGCTAAAGGATGGACCATAATTTTTCCCAGGTTACATAAAGGTAAAGACACTTTTCTATTGCAAGAAAGCATACTGTTAGTAGCAATCAATGTTTTACGATTGGGATGAGAATACCATTACAATTCTGAGGCATCCTAAGAGGTCCCTCTTGTTCACATTTGCTGCAAGGAGTTGCAGCAGACTCAACTAATTACCTCATTCCTCTTCCTCCGCTCTTCTTACTCCCAGGTTCCTACTCCATACTCTCAAGGGGAGAAAATAAGCAGAAGGATGTGAGGGCATGTACAGCGGGCATTAGCCACTAGTCCTGAGAACTACTGGTCAGCACCCCTGAAGCTGATTAAACACTTGGTAAATGATTTCTCAACTCCAACAGATGGTCTATGAGTCCCAGCTGTGCTATTCAACATCTATATGACTTCATATAAGAAACTAAAATCTGGGAGTCGGAGGATTGCTTCTCTAACAAATTCTACTTAACATTTTATGATTTGACTTCATACCTTGTATCCTAATTTTGTTTTTTCTCCTGGCAGAATGCCTCAAAGGATGACTATCATGTGATTCACACTCACTCAACCAAGGACTTTAGCAAGTTTTCATTTTTCGACAAGGAAGCAGATAATAAACTGAAATTGTCAGTCTTGTAGGGTCAAGTCAGGATTCAACTTCATAGCCCCTGCCCCACAAAGACAGCCAGTTATTATTGCAGCCTAGTTTTAATATTTATATTCTTGAAGGATAAAAAAAATTACTATGGTAAAAATCTTATTTTAATAAAACATTTCTGATTTCTAAACATATTTTATACAACTTTTTCTATTTCTGACACTTTTCTAAACACTATAAAGGTTAACCTCCAATGACTCAGTATCTATCTCTCCTGCAGGAATATTTTTCATTTACTACATTCAGAAGCCTTCAATTTTTTGTCTTCCACTCTTATCTTTTCTCTCTATGTCTAATTCTTTTCACCACCACCACCACTGCCACCCATCATTTTACTACAAGCTTTCTTTAAAATCTGATTTCCTGCATACCTAAATTCCTAAAACTTTCATTATTGTAGTCGTGAGTCAAAGACTAGCATTTGGCTTTTATAACTCCAAGGGGAATGTGAATTGACTCTTGGCATGAACATATATATATACACCCACACTGCTTGATGCTGCAAGTTTTCTCAGTTCACAGTTAGAACCCTGGATGCTTTTGAAGGAGGAGTTAGTCACTAGGAAGAGTGGGAACAGAATCAAGGAAATGCATCTTTACGATGATTCTCCTGAAGACATTCCCAGGGTCCAGCCCTTATTTCTGGTAGCCAGTGTTTTTTTCTTTTAAGGTGGGAGACATTCCATTGTTGGAGTAAAGGACAGTCTGTCTCTGAGCGTTTTCCTCTTTCTTAGATACAGGAGACAATGAGAAAGCCCTTAGCCACTCTTAAATCCAACTTTCCAGATAGTCACTTGAAAAACATTCACACAATACCAAATCACAAGACAACCCCCTCTTTTATTCCTATAATCAGAAGTTCATTAATGTGAATATTTTATATTATATAAATGAAGTATATGGGAGAAAACAAATGAGGTATGATCACAGATTGGTGTCTAATGAGAATGACAATGAACTTCCTCTTTCCTTGCCCATAAGAAGCTAATTGATAGCTACTGTTATTGGTTGGATTATGTCTCCCTTTCCCCATCACTTCCAAATATCTCAGAATGTGACCTTACTTGGAATAGGATCTATACAGAGGGAATCAAACTTACAATGAGGGATTAGGGTGGCTCTTAATCTAATGTGACTGGTGTCCTTATAAGGAGAGGAAATTTTATAGCTACAGGGAGATGTAAATGCCATGTAAATATGGAGTTGGCCATTGAGGACAGCCAAGGTGACCAGGTCTGCACAGGCCCTTCCCTCACAGCTCTCAGAAGGAGTCAATGCTGCTGACACTTTGATTTCAGATTTCTAGCCTCCAAAACTGTGAAAAAATAAATTTTTTTGTTTATGTCACCCAGTTTTTGGTATTTTATTATAATAGCCCTAGCAAATGAGTATAACTACCTACTTTATATTTTTTTTCCTGGAAATCTAACTTGCAATTTTTTGACATACTTCAATTATAATTATTGCTGAAGAGACATGTATTTATATCTGAGCTCTTAACTTCTGAAAAACAAAACTATACTGCTCTTTAATGGTTATGTCTTAGATATCGTGATAAAAGTCATGATAGCCACAGAAGATGCTGAGCCTTCTCATCAAAAACATTTACAACTGAGGAAAATAGAAGTTAGAGATTTTTAAAGTCACTCCATTAGTTACAGGTAGAGATAGTTTGTCACAGGCTCCCTCTCTGCACGTTTTTGTTATAGCCACCATTAGGTATTAGACAAAAATGACCTATCATTGAAATGATTTTCCCCTCATTTGTCACATTAGAAAATGTTTAAGTCAGGATAACATAGAAGTCTGAAGACAATTCAGAACACAGAAGAGTGTACCTCATTGACACAGTTTTCTACAAACTCCTTTCACATCTACATATTGATATCTTCACTGTTAAGTGTGAAGATGCATTTTTGTATTATTTTGAAATAAGTACAGTAATGGGAGGTGGCCCAGCATCTCAGCTGTCCATGAAAAGATTAGGATTTCATTTACTTCTGCATATTTAAGCAGAATTATAAGAGGAAATATTCAGAAGACCACCTAAGTATTTCCTAATTCTCAGGCAGTTTTCAAAAAATAATTTTATTTTAATTCAAGCTTCTACTTATCCCAACATGAATAATTTCTTGATAAATCATTTTAGTTTATTTTCTCTTTCTGTTTGAGAAGGATTGAGAAGATTTGGGGAAACATGGCAGGAATCTTCAAAGAGGTGATATGGTAGAGAACTAACTTTTCAGCCCTGAAGGTAGAACTAATATGAACTGGTTAAAGTTACAATTAAACAGATTTCAACTAAGAACAAAGAGAATCTTTAAACAGAGCTATTCTCTGATAGTGTTGAACTGAACATGATCTTAAGGGCTAGTTACTGGTGATGTTTCAAGCATTAAACCTTTGGGAGACTTTACTATATGGAGGATACAAGTTATGCTTAGATTAGATTAAATGGCCTGTATGACTATCTTCATCCTAAAATCTTTGGTTCTATGACCTCAGTAGTATTGTTACAGTTCTAACTCTTCCCCTCAAATAAAACGCAGGCTTATTTCTTTATAGCAAACTGTCCCATTATTAGAAAAAAATATGGAATTATTTTAATAGTCATACTAGTGCTTGGAATCCCAGTCTAAAGGTGTATCTTTTTATATGAGATAATATACATATACTATGTATATATAAAATAACAAAATACTAACCTCCTTCATTTTTTCCAATTCATTCTGTAAAGCTTGCTTTGCAATCTCAACTTCTATAAGTTGTTGCCTCAGTTTCTCATTTTCGTCTTCAGTTGTTGTTCTCTTTTCTTCCACATTCTCCAATTCATGGTGAAGTCTTACAGATACATCCTTTGCAACCTAAGTTAAAGTGTTTGTAATAATGAAATGTAATTAAAGACAACACAGTAAGTGGACTAAAATTATATTCATATTAAAAGTATTACAAGCCAATACTTATGTAGTGTTTACCATAAACTATCATTCCTGATGTTTTGCCTATAAATCATTCACAGATATAAACAATTAAATTCATACAAGAGTCTCATTTTTATATTGTTATTTTAAAGACAAGGTAAAGTAATATGCTCAAGGTCCCACAGCTAGCAAGCTCTCCATTCTATTTCCTTTAATCTCTATACTAACCACAACATACGTTTAATTGAGTTTGCTTATGTGTAGAGAAACTTCATATATTTCTTCTAGTTCTACAATGAAACTATAAAGTAGATGCTTCATAGTGATCCATTTTAAAGGAAACAAAGTTTTTACAAGTGGGATATGGGGTGTACATTTTGGTCCTATATTTCCAGGTACTTAGTTTTAGAAAAAATTAGAGTCCTTGAGATTAATTGCTTAAAATTTATAGTATGCATTTTTGCCTACCATTTTGATATTATCTTTGAAATTTTAGGTTTAGAAGTAAAGTGGAGCAGTCTGATATGGTGACTCAGACACAAGCTATGGTTTTAAAGAATGGGGTGAGCCAGCCTGACCACCAACTAGTTAAGTTGCAGGGCTGAGGTTGGGCACTAAACTCATTAGAATGTTGGGTTTCTGCACCTGCATACTATTAGTAATCCCTACCTTATAAGGTTATTTTTTCCTTTGAGAACTAAATGAGATAGTAATACATGTGATATTTGACAATGCTTAGTGCAGAGTGAGCATTCAAGAAATGTGAGAAAAAGAAAAAAATAAACACAATGACTTTCATAAAATGTTTTCTCATGACTTACTTTAAAACAAATAGAGGATAATAACACTTGATTTTTATATCTTGATGAAGCTAATGCAATTAAAATTATATTTGTTTGGTTGTCCATGAAGATAACACTTGGCTTGCATTTGTCAACGAATATGTCGACAGTCAAAGCTAAACTGAACAGACCACACCTGCTTAAAAGAAATCACTTCAAGGTTGCAATTTCTTCACTAAGGTTGATTTTGAAGCAACCTCACATTAAGAATGAGTGTTTTTCATTCACTTCACTTTCTCTTAGCTACTTCAAATAAAACCTTAAGTTGGAGAGTTTCCCTACCAAGGAGTTACCTAAAAGGTAAGTACAGAAAGAAAGGAGTCCTGGAAGAATGTGGGCGCATGGGGCTGCAGGGAGAAATCTTAACTCCAATATCCTTTCAGAGCCGTTTCTGTTCAGAGTTTCAGCCCCTCTGGGATGAGTCCTCATCGCCTGACTTTACCTAGTCCTCTCTCTCCGAAGACCGGCTCTGGAGGGCAGATGAAGGCCAAGCCCGAGCGCTGCCACGCCCTTGTTTCCGCTGGGGGAAGGAGGCGCCCCCTCCTACTTCCTCTGGAAAAGCCACTGTTCCTCCCAGGATAGTCCCCAGAGCTGGCGCTCCCCAAGATCTTCCACATACATTTTACTCTTTACACCCACTTGTCTCTCGTTCCTGTTCCCCTTCTGGGACATTTCATAGTCAGTACTGCGAACCTTCATGTACCTAAAGCTCTGTTCACTCATTACTGAAGGCCATTCTTTCAACGTCTAAAGCCCTAGCCCAGAGTCCCCACCCCCTGTCCCTGCCCCGCACCCAGACCTTAAGGTCCTGCTCCAGGCTGCGCAACAGCTCCCCGTCGATTTCCCCAGTCTGCGCGTAGCGGAGTCTTTTGCGCTCGGCTTTGCGGAGGCGGTACTGCAGAATTCGGCAGTTTTTGTTGGCTCTTTCCAACTCGTGGCGCATTTCCTGTAGTTGACAGGCATCCTCTTCGAAGAAAGTGTCTCTCATCTCGTCCATCTCGGTTCTCAGCTCATCGATCTCGTTCTGAGGTGGCGATAAGCCATGGGTCAAAATTAGCCTCTCCCCGCATCTCACCCTGCTCTCAAGTATGCGGTCTACATCCAACCTAACTCCAAATTCCCAGTTCTTTATTTACTCCCCGCTCTAGGAGACAAGGAAGGAGAAACTAGAAAAAAACAGGCCCTCCTTTAGGCCTCCCTCTAGGTCCCCTACTCTAGCGCTCGATGAAGAAAGTGGGACAAGTGATAATTATCACGAAAGGAAGGCCCAGATTTGGATTTAAATGAAACCTAACGCTACTAATCCCCGGCTCTCCTAAATCCAGTAAAGGCCTAGGAACCCCTGCTCTCCTTTTCTGTTCCCCTCCCTTCATAAGCATCCCTAAAGGTTCACAGCCTCTCACTCCCGCCTGGACACGCCCTAATCTTTCCAGGCCTTCACTTCCCCTCCCCCACACTCCTTACCTTGAGTGTCTCGTTTTCTTCTCGAAGCTTCTCCATCTCCTCCTGCATTTCTTCCTGCTCTTGGAGCTGCTGCGAGCTGGGCTGCGACGAAGGCGGCGCGGTCGCCTGCATGCTCCCGCCGCTGGCATTGCTCTCTGCGCTCTGCTGGGGGCCCTCGGCGGCCGCCGCCATTGGGAAGGCGGAGGGCACAGCAAGGGGTTCGCAAATGGCTGGGGCGCCAGCGATCGGGGAGCTGCGAGTGCTGCTTCCGCCACCGTTCTTAGTGTGCATCTGGGCCGCGGCCGCGGCCGCTGCGGCCCGCTCTTTCTTGAGGTGGAACTGGATGAGCTCAGACTGCAGGCACCCTTCCTTCCAGTAATTCCCTCCGCCACCGCTGCTGCCCCCTAGAACGGCGCTTCCGGAGTTTCTGCTGCCCGGGCCCGGGGTTTTGCCCGCAGAAGAGGGGGATGGCGAAGGGGAGGCCCCCTCCCCAGCGCTGCCGCCCCTCTGCTGAGCGCGCGTGCCTTTCCCTCGCCAGCCCTTGGGCGGCGGCGGCTGCTGCGGAGCGGCCCCCTCCCTCTCTCCGGAGCCTCTGCCGGCTCCTCCTCCTTCCCTAACCCCTCCTCCTTCTTCCCCGAGCGTAAGGGGTTCCCCGAGTTTCGAGGGCACTGGCTCTGGCTCCCGGGGAGACTCCTCTGGGGGGCCAGGCTTTTTGCCGCCCACGGGGGCCAGACTAGCTGCGGGGGCCGCTTCAGCACCAGCCGAGGGGTGGACAGCTCCCGGCACGGCCCCTTTGGAAGCCGGGGGCACCGCCTTCTCCGCCCCGCCTCCGCCTCGGGAGCTGGGCAGAGGCGCCGCTCGGTTCCCGGTCTTGATGCCTTGCTGCTGCTGTTGGTGCTGCTGTTGGTGCTGTTGTTGTTGCTGCTGCTGTTGCTGCAGCTGCAGCTGCTGCTGCCGAACGGAATTGAGTTTAGTGCCCACCCCCACCGGAGACCGGGTGGCTGCAGTTGTCTGTCGGGTCAAATTATCCCTCAGTCTACCGGGTGATTGAGCACGATGCTGCTTTCTGCTGCTGCCCTCCGGGTGCAGGCGAGCCTCAGTGGCAGCCGTGGAAGCAGAAGCTGTGGCTGCGACAGGGGCAGCGCCCCCAGTCGGTGGCTGACTCATGGCAGTCTAGGAAGAATCTACCAGATGCAGTTTAGAATTGTCCATCACCACCACATCATTCTCTTCTCTCCTTACCGCCACCAACCTTCCTTTCTAATCTGAGGCAGAAACAGAAGAATCACACAGCATGTCTGCATTATTACAGATAAAGGGTGATAATCGTACACAAGAGAAGCCTTAGAAAGTAATAAGGTTTGAAGGTGTTTAATAGAAGCTTTGACTGTATGTAGGCAATGGCAAGAATATTCAAGTCTCCTTTTACCCAGGGAGGCATTATCTCCAACTCACTCCACCTCAGAAAAGTGATTATCTGAAAGCTTCTGAACCTAACAGTCTCACATCAGCAGGTTTTGGCAAGGATGAAGTATGAATTCAGAAAAGAATTTTTTAAAAGGAGATAAGGCCAATAAGAATATTTTTTAAAGGCGTTAAGGTCAAGAAGAAATTCAGAAGGTAAAGTTAATGTCAACATGCTAGAGTTGACTATGCTTTTCAACTTAATTTTCTTCACTATCAAATCTGCATTTTAAGAAAATCTGCATTTTAAAGGCTTAGCCTTATTGGAGACAGTTTCATTTATTTAGTATTCCCAAGTATCAATCAGAGGAAAAGAGTTATGCAGGTTGTTAGAGAAAGTTTGCTATGAATAAATGACACCTTTCTCAAATAGCTCTAATCTTTAATGTTGCTCTTGCTTAGAGAAGCACACCCAATTACCTATAACACTAAAAGTAAAAGAAAATATAAACACATGAATGATTTTAAATCACCTTCAGTTTCAAAGAAATAATGACATTAGGAATCACCCCCATTGTTTAGTCATTAGCATACTTAAAGGGAATTGTTTTTAGCTCTGAGAATGAATTATTAAACTGCTTTGGAAACATTTATTGAAGGCTATGCACAACTTCTTAAATCACAGGTGATGACCTTTTCTACACTTATTCATATTTAAAAGTTATTGTGAATTGTTTATTTTAAGTATAATTACTAGATAGAAAATATTTTCACTCGTAAACATCTTAGATGGTATATCATAGGAAAAACTGTAGTTTTAAAGTAAACAAATTCCAATTCTGAGACAGACTTGCCCTGCATCCAAGAGGCTGGCAAATTCTCACTCATATTGGTAAGATCAACTTCTATTGTGCTATTTTTCCAAGATAAATCTATCACTGACTTTTGATATCTGGAAACTTTCAAGTCATTAATAACCTCTTGGGTTCTTCTTCCTAGTGATCCAAGAAGCTTGTGAGCTAGTCAATTAGGTACCTTTCCCTTAGAACATAATTTCTCTTCAAAGCACTGAAAAGGCATGACTAGGCAGAAAGTTCTGTTTAATGGGGTGGGAAGGAAAAACCTATTAGGAAAGATACTTACCAGTTACTGCTATTGTCTATTTTAAATGTGACAACTTAGTTGGCCTGTAGTAATCCTTAATTTTATAAAGAAATGTTAACAAAAACTCTTCACCATCTCCTTGTCTTTTTCCATGATCTCCTTCCAAGCCCATTTGAAAAATAATGGTAAAGAGAGAAGATATTGTGGAGGAGGGGGAGAGATGTTGCTCACCAACTTATTGTCTACATGTTCCCCTGGAGCCACATGCTTCCAGAATGTCTTCCCCAACATGGGTCACACTAATGTGGACCACTCAAATACGTTATATTGCTAATGCAACATCTTTTTTTTTTTTAATTGAGCAGAATCACTCGGATTTAAGACTCCACCACAGAGGATTTAAATTCCGCCTCCAGACAACTTTAACCCAGAAGAAAGCGAGGGTTCCAGGAACTCCCCTCTCACAATCATCGGTATGTAATTGCTGTCACGTGGTTCTCACAAAGTGACAGGATGCTATGTCTATTCAAGGCTTCGTGTTGGAATCGCCAACCAAGCAACCCCGGCATTACCCAGACCAATTTTACTCGCAAATTTTATCTGCCCATTTATCCACCCCATCTATCACCCCCATCCCTTTAGAAATCCAGAACTGCTCACTTCTCAGCAGAGGCGGGATTTCGAAGTTGATGAAAATCAGCAGCGTTTTTCTTCTAATCTTCCGGAACCTCCCGGTCTGTTAGGATGTCTTTCAGAGATGAGGAAAGTTTAACTTCTTAGCATTATATGCGACTTTCTGGCTGGCCATGACTGGGCCCGTTCATCCCAGTTCCACACCCACTCTGTTTCTTCAAACAATGGCGTTAACGTGCAAACAATCATAGGGCTCTCCAGAACAGATTACTTCCCGGTGGTCCTCGCCTAAGCGGGAGCTGAGCCTCGGAGCTGGAGAACAGCGAAGTACCAAGCGGTGCCAGACGCTCCTCACGAAGTGCACTGATATTCATGAGCTGACCTCACCCAACTGGGCAGAGGAGGGGGCGGGATTGCAGGGGAGGACCGGGTAGAAGTAACCAAAGACAGGCTACTTTCAAGAGGAAAGAGAAGAAGGCGGGGATGGGATTGGGAGAGCGGGGGTGTCCAAAGAGACAAAAAAAGGTCTAGAGCCACGCCCGAGATGGTAGATCGGTTGCCGCCCTCAAAGTCCCTGCTGCACTCTCATATCCCGCACTTGGCAGAAAATTCCAAAACAGCTCGAAAATGAGATGCATTGGTTTTCTGCAAAGCTTTGTCCTCGGTAAGATCTATCTCCATCAATTATTTACTTGAGCTCTTTTCTCAGGGAGGCGATTCAAACAGCAGCCTTCCGGGCGTGACTGATGTCTCCCGATGCAGCTGCGAGGCGCTGGCGGACGGCTGCTGGGAGTTGTCTTTGTTCGCTCACTTTAATTCTCTGTGGATCTCTCCACGCGGTGCACCCTCCCCGCCCCCAAGCCGGGCGGAGTCATCAGATGTCTTTTCCAGGAGTAAATAATGGTTGCCAGACTCACCGTCCCACAGACAAAGGGTTCTTGTGTTGCCACGATTAATTTAGTGCAAACCGAATAAATACCGGTTTATAGAGATCGTTTACTGGCGGGTTTGCCGACTGTGCATTTTCTTCTCTCCTTTAAGTTCCATTTTCCACCGTGAAAACAAGGAGCAATTGTTGAGGTCCACAATCTTTATAGTAGTGCATGTGGGTGACAAGAATCTTCGAGTGCATTTGTAACATATGAGCTCAAAGGGAATTTCAAAAAATAGGAATTCAGTATATATGCCTTTATGATGTACATTAATCCATACCGTTGCTCAGTACTTGTATTATAAAGATGGGACTGGAAAATTCTTTTTATTATTATCATCATCATCATCATCATCATCATCATCATCATCATCGAAGAGTAAGGAAGGTATGAAGGTCTTGGTCCTACCTCTAAGAATTCCTTGGTGATGCACATGTTGAAGTATAAAACTGTACTTCCAAAATTATATATTTAAGTAAGCAAATGGTAAATCAGTAAAATTTGATTTTAAAAAAGAATTCCTTGGTGAGCTTGAAGATGAGACTAAAGTAAATACTGTTTCAGAAAGGATTTTTTTATGTTAAATTTCTCCAACATTAGTATTGTGGTACAGTAAGTAAAAAGAAGCCAATATATTGAAATAATAATTGTTTATGCTAACATGAATTTTAGTATGAGTTTATTTTCCAAATGCCTGCAACATCTTGTATTAAAAAATGAAATATGTTAATTTAGGAGTTGTTTGCATACAAGTAATACCATTACAGCAAAAATAAAGAGCTATTTAAACCCTGTTGATTAGTATCTCCAATGACATATAAGTCACATATAGCATTAGGACAAAATCTTTCATGCATTCATGCTCTCCCAAAGACATACTGTGTCCATTTTTTTCCCCAGCACTGTCCAAGGTACTGGGGATGCAAAGATAAATTAAGATATTGCCCTTATTCTGGGGAACCTCAAGCATATTGATGAAAACTGGAATAATTTCCAAATAATCCTTTGAATACTTTTGAAAGGTGGAAATGTGGTATCTGTGGCATTTCCAATGAAAAGTTCAGAACTTGACTATACTTCTCTATACCAAAAATATAGAGAAAGAAAACAAAGTAAAACATAATTACAATTTATTTGGGATTTATATTTGGTGACTTTGACATTATGTGATCAAAGTTGACTTGTAATTTTCTTTAGAAATACCAAGAACTACAGGTCTCACTTAGCCAAATGGGTAAAAACATTTTTTCACATTAATCTGTTATAAATGAAGCAATGGTATTATAAACATTGTGTATGGATATAAAACAGTTGTCCTGTTTCTATAAGAACTTCTACTCCACTCTTTGTTTTAATTTTCTCCAGAAAATATATTAAACATTTTTGTTTTAATTTTCTCCAAAGAATATATTAGTTATTTCAATGCAATTAGTAAATTTAGAAAGTTTAATAAGATCAAGAGTTGACTATCATGCATGCTTAAGTCAAGCAATGTCTAAATGAGTTATTTTTCTATTTTTTTTTTTTGTGGGACCCTTGCTTGAGGCTGGGGAACAAACCGGTGCTGCAGAGGCTGCGGGCAGCCTCGCAGCCCAGCGTTCGACCGCTGTGCCACTAGGGGAGGCCCTCTAAATGAGTTATTTTATAATTTAGTATTATGCATTTCCAAAGTTGAAACCTAATAAAGAATGTATCCAAGCAATGGATACTTTTTGTCTTATGCTCCTTGACTTTATTCACAGTGACAAAACAATAGCATCATGTTTATGTGACTCATATGCAACACTGAATACATTCATCTATTTGAAATACTGATGGGAAATAAAATCATATATTTCAGTTCAATTATATCATGTAAAATAAAAATCACTTGTATTTACAAGAAAAGATGAACTCACTCAATTGGTAAGGAAATATTTGTTTTACAATTTTCAGAAAGACTTAGCAATACCATACTGTAAAAAAGTGTCAAATACCAGAGCATAGTATTTATTTTTAACAAAACCATAACTGGCACATGAAGGAACACATGAATATTTGAAAAGGATGCAATTGCAGGAATATTTGAACTTATCTGATCATGTTAATATTATT